CGGGCCCCCCCGTTGCGGGGGAAGGGCCAAGCGGAAACCCCGGTTCCCCCGGCCAAGGGGGGATTCCGGAGGAAAGTTTCGGCCCCAGAAGAAGGAAGGGAAGCTGCTTGCAGCCGCTTCACCTCAGGGAGCACGGATTCGTCGTGTTTTCTCACGCTCTCACCGTGGCCGAATGCGAGCACGCGCTAGACGGGCTGTGGGCCTGGCTAGAGGGGCTCGGCACAGGCGTCGAGCGGCGGCGGCCCGACACGTGGGACGACGAGCGCTGGCCTCGCTGCGTCGAGGGCGGCATCCTGCCCTTCCACGGCATCGGGTGCTCCGAATTCATGTGGCGCATCCGGAGCAACGCCAACGTGCGCGCGGCCTTTGCCGCCGTGTGGGGCGTGACGTCGGACGACCTGATCACCTCGCTCGACGGCGCGGCCGCGTTTCGGCCGTGGAGGCGGCGGCCGGAGCGGCGGACGCGCGGCGGTTGGCTGCACGTGGACCAGAACCCGGCGAGGCCAGAGTTCGAGTGTGTCCAGGGCCTCGTCCACTTCGGACCGGCCACAAGCCACGCCACGGGCGGCAACGTCCTCCTGCCGGGATCGCACCGCCGCTTTGGACGGCTCTCTCGCTACGCGGCGGAGCTGCAGGACGACGACGACTTCTTCAGGCTTCCGCCCGACGACCCCCTACTCCGCGACGGCGGCGGTGACGACGGCGGTGACGGCGGCAGTGGCGGCGGCAGTGGCAGTGGCGGCATCATCTGCCTGCTGCAGCGCGGCGATCTGCTGCTGTGGGACTCGCGCACTGCCCACTGCTCAGCGCCGGGGGAAGGGGGCGCAGTCCTCGCGGGCGGGGAGGAGGAGGAGGAGGAGGAGGACGAGCTGCTGCGCGCGGTCGCTTTTGTCTGCCTCGTCCCCCGCTCGCGCGCCTCGGAGGAGGTGATTCGGAGGCGAAAGGCGGCGGTCCGGGCGCGCGTCACGACGGCGCACCGGCCATATGTCTTCCAGCCGACGCACGAGTACAGCGTGTACTGCGACGAGCAGATGGCGCGGTACTCTGTGCCGCGCGACGAGCCGCTGCTAACACCGCTTGCGGCGCGGCTGGTTGGGTACAGCGAGGCCGAGATTGCCGCCGGGGAGCACCTGCCAGCGGCACGGTCCGGAGAAGGGGTTTAAAAGGCAGCGGGGAGGGGGGCGGCATATGCGCGCGCGAGTAGTTCTCGACTTGCGGTGGCGGCGGTGACGAGGCGGCGCGCTAGGCGGCGCGAGATCGCCCAGGTGCTGAGCGTGCGAAAGTTTGTTGCTCAGCTGGGTCGCCGCCTCCCTCGGGGTGCTGCGGACCTCCCTTCCAAAGAGCCTCTCCGAAAGTCTCTCGAAAAAAAAAGTAATATATCTTTACTTCCAAAACCCGGACGTGCCTCCACCGGCACGCCGCTTCCGACAGGGTGATGGAAGGTTCGACGCACCCCCGGACTGGGCAGAGAGATCCCAGTGCATCTGCGCTGGGCTGTCCACCCCGCCCCCACTTGCCCTGACTGCACAGGATAGCGTGCCCCGACGAACGGCGACACATAGCGGGGGACACTGCGCCGGGGGGTATGCCTAACTTTGGTGCTTTGTGTGGGTCGCGTTCCCATGGTAGCTGTGTGGCTGAAGCCCTCGTGCCGCTGGCTTGCCCCTTCCAGCGGCTGGCCCCTCGAGACTGTCGGTGCTTGGCGGGAGGAGGGGGAGAGGGAGGCCCGGTGGGAGGAGAGGGAGAGGGAGGCCCGGTGGGAGGGGAGGGAGAGGGAGGCCGTCTTGGGCTCTTCTCCTCCCCCCTCCCTGGGCTCTTCTCCTCTCCCCACCCTGGGCTCTTCTCCCATCCTCCCTGGTACTCTCGGCCTGATTACCGGAGCGACTGCCGGAGCAGACGCTGGGGGGACACTCGCGCCCGGAGGCGGTACGCACGACCCGGAGGCGTGGGGATGGGGGGGGGCCGCGCCGCCGCCGCCGTGCCGCCTTCTCCCGCTTTGACCTCCCCCAGCTGCTTCTCCTCAAATCAACCTGTGAGCTTGCGAGGCGGCGGGGGTGGGAGTGCTCTCGGGCGGCGTGTGCGATGGGCGAGGCGCCGAAGGCGCCCACTCTGAAAACGCATGCGGCCGTTGCTGTCGCGTTCCATGCGTTTAGCCGCTTTCTGGAGGGGAGACCGTCGGACGCGCGGATGATGAGCGCAGAGCTTCTCGTGGATTTTGCGGTCTGGTTAGCAACAACGCGTGCGCAGATTTCGCGCGTTGACCCAACTCGGATGGGGCGAGGTAAGGAGACCGTGGAGTGCTACCTGCTCTATCTGCGCTTATTCGTTCTTCCGGGGAAGCACGGCGATTGGGTGGCGAGCATGTCGCGCGTCGAGTACATTGCAATGTGGACTGACATTGAGCGGCGAACTAGGGAGCTGTTCTCGCAGACGGGACGCAACCGCCTGGCGCAGGCATGCGCTGCAGCGGAGAGGGAGAAGCTAGAGCGGCAGGGAAAGCTCTCGCCAACAGAGATTGACGCCATGGTCGAGGCGACGCGGCACTCTGCAGTGGCATCGCTGGAGGCACAAACGGGCGATCCGTGCACGGCAGCGCACCTTTTTCTTCCCGATGTGGAGCTTATCGAGGTGACAATCGTCAGATCCGTGTTTTATCTGTAAGTATAAAGATGAGAGTGAGGTTGAACCGGACCCAATCAAAGTCGGCGGGTTTCCAGGAGGGGGGGTATGACGAAAAACGGCGGGCGCATTTGGGCACATGACTGGGAGAACTCTGTGGTGGACCCGCTGGGCGAAAGGAGCTCGCAGACCGTTGCAGCCTCACGATGGCATCGAGCGGAGCGAGTGCGAGCGCGGCGGCCAAGCAGCGGCACCAGGAGCAGCTGCGAGCTGACACCGACATCGCGTCAGATCCGTGTGACAATCGTCAGATCCGTGTTTTTTTGGTCTTGCGGTACATCTCTCCGCTCGCCACCTCACGCTCCGCCGTCCGGCCATGGATGGTCCGATGGAGCTCGCCGAGCTCCATCGGACCATCCAACTCCGGTCACCGATTCTGAACGCGCTCAGCCTCAGGAGGTACCAAACCGCGCGAATTCTGCACGCCTCGCTGCACCGCTGGCTTGACTGAATCAGGCAGCAGCAGGCTGCTGCTGCTGCCACAGCAGCAGTCTGCTGCGGCCCTAATACGCAAGTTGATGACTAGCAGCACTGCCGGGGGCATTCGAGCCGCCACAGCCGGTGTGCGGCTGTGCACTGCCACCTGCCCGCGGCTACGCACAATGTGCGCTCGCATTGGATGAGCCCTGCTGATGGACCTGCGTCGCCTAGCTGCACGAGAGCAATGCCGCAGGCAGTGGCCGTGGCATACACTGCGAGCACACTTGGTGCAGCTGCGAGGTGCAGCAAGAGCACGTCGTTCCTGCCTCTGATGCCACTCTCGCGGCTTGCAGCGCGTCACTCGCGCATGCTCTCCAGGAGCTATGGCGGGCGCGTGTGTGGGGCTGTAGCCTGTGTTTGGCCGGTTCTGACCCGTTTACTACCAGTGTCATGTCCGGGCCACAAAAAATCGCACACGGGTAGCGGCTCAGGGGCCCAGTAAGTCGCGGAATCGCCAAATGTCACAAAACCTGCGCCACCCAGGGCTGGACCTAGTCCCATCAAAACCAATCAGCAATCACGCGCGACTCGCGAGATTGCGCACGACTCGGTGTCGGACGCGATGGGGTTGAGCAAGCAGCCCAACGCTGCGAGGTTGCGAGCCGACGCGGGCCGCGCTCCTTTCGCGTTTCGGCGCGGCGCTGGTAGTTTGGATCGCATTTTGGGTATTGCTTGAGCTGTCCCCCTCAAGAGGGCCCCTCTCCTCACGTTGATAGCGGGATACTGGGCTGGGTTTTTAGGCCGATTGTGGGGTTGGCACTCCCATCGACCCTCACATGACCTCCTGCGGTCTCTGTGAGATGGACTCCATCATGGTTCATGGACACCAGTGCGCAGTGGGCGGGGTGTGGGACCACAGCCAGGATACACTCAAAAAGGCTGGGTAAGCAGTAGAGGTCGATATACTCGACGCAAATGCTTTTTGGTGAGGCAGCCGGTGATGACGAAGCAGAAACTAGCGCAGACGAGAGCAGGGCAGACCCGGGGACTGGGGAGCCGGAGCAGACGGCATCGTCCGCCGAGGAGCACTTACTCTTACTTGGAGTGCAGTCATTAACCACACACACATCCAGGGCCGGGGAGCTGAGAAGCGCACCCAGCGGGCCGGATGATCGGTGTCGGGTTACGGGCTAGAGAGCCCTAGCCCCGGGGGTGCGCGTTCGTTCGCAGGGAAAGGGCCGTAAAGTAACAACACGGGTCTCCGAGGGTTAGTTCCGTGTACGGTACCGCCTGGCTAGTCTTCTTTTTTATCAGTTCGACCTGTCTCGAGCCTGCCTAAAAGAAAGAAAGAAAACTCCGATTTTTTCTTTTTTATCGGCGAGTTTCTGTCGGGCGCGCGGACGATAGTGCGGGCGCGCGGCGGACGCGGCGGACGCAAAGCACACACTACCCCCTACCCTAACACACCCTCAGCCTGCGCCGGAACGGCCGCGCGCACAAACCTCTTCCCGCCATTCGGAGCGCGTGCCGGCACAGAGTGGCGCAGACGGCGCAGGGACCGCGCTGGGGCGCGCAGGGTTGTGTGGGTGGCATGTGGGAGCGCGCAGCCTCCTGCTCCGTCTCTCGGGCGCCGCCTGATCCTCTGCACACGCGGTGGTGGCGACATGCGGGAGCGCGCGGCGTCCGTTTCTGTCTCGGTCGGCCGCTCTTGACCCTGTGCACACCCCATCCACAGGGTCCGCCATGTCCATGGACCCGCGCTTCCCCGCGACTGGCGAGGCGCCGTACATGAGTGTGCTCAAGGGCGACACGTTTTTTGCGCGCACCTTCCCCAACTACAAGAAGATGTTCTTTGACAAGGGCTCCTTCCGCCCCGTCGTGCACGCGATGCTGGTCGTAGGCTTCATTGGCTACACGCTCGACTACTTTCAGCACCTGCGCTGTGCGTGCTGCCCTCCCCGCCTCTCGCCCGCCCGCCCGCCGCCCGACCCCCTTCCCGAGCTGCTGACGCGGCTCCTCCGCTTCCGCCGGCAGTCGAGCGGCACAGCTACAAGGAGAAGCATTTGGGCGGCCACTGAGGCGGCGCGCATACCGCTGGCTTTGCTCGAGGCTTGCGGCCCGCCGCGCGCGTTGGCCACGCGGTGAGCCAGAGCTCTCCTGTACTTGGGTCTTGAGCTGTGTGTGTGGTTCTCCCCTCCCCCCCCCCCCCCCCCGATTCGCGACGCTGCGTGGTCTACGCACTCTCCACCCTGACCGTGGTCACACTGCACGACACAAGCATGCGTATCATACACCGGTAATTGAAGAGCACAGTTTTTTTTTTTTGGGGGGGGGGGGGTCGCGTTCGACTTTTCGGGCCCGCGCTGCCGCTGGCGGGGGCTCTCGCCTCTGTCCGTCTCTCTCAAACTACACGCTCTACGGACTACGGTGTACCTGTACGGTCCTACACTCGTACACCATTGTGTATGTCCTGATATAAAAGACCGCGCTTACATATCGTATGTGTATCGCACTTTCACTTTGCAGGTCAGAAGGCTTCGTAGCCCTCCGGTCTACTATAAAGCAAGCGAGTGTTTGCAGGTTGCACTCTTGCAGTGTTAGGTGTTTCCGCACAAGTGTGAAGTGAGAGTGTTGAGTGCTGAGTGGGGCTCTGGGGCGAGACGCTATCTGCGCGCTAAAATCAGCTATGCTCCAGCGGCGATGGTGGCGGCGGCGGCGCGGCCGACCGCGAGAGGTAGACGCCGAGAGACCAGCTCGGCTTGAGGGTCACGCCCGGAGCGACCTCGAACGAGCGGCAGAGGTAAAAGCTCGCTCCCTCGTCGGCGAGGCCTGCGAGCCCTAGCAGCTCTGCGGGCAGCAGCCCAGCGTACGCCTCGTGCCGGCTCGCCACGGCCCCGCCCCTCGCCCACTGCTGCAGGTGCTCCCGCAGCGCCGCGACCAGCGCCGCCTTGCCCACCACCCGCTGGCCCACCTGCCGCGCCAGCCCGGCGAAGCGGCCGCCGTACTCGTCTGCGGAGCCGCAGGCTCCGACCATTTCGATGGCGACGAGCGTGCCGCGTAGCTGTCCGCGCCGGCCAGAGGCGGACACCTCTGCCGCAAGCCGCGCGCCAAAGGCCTCGATCGCGCAACTCCGCGCGTCTTCGTCGGCCGCGCCGTCCGCCCGCTCGCAGAGCGAGGCGGCGGCGTCGATCAGCCCGTGCGTCACCGAGAGGAAGCTGGCCGCTGCGCCCGGAGGGTCGTGCCAGCCGACCTGCAAAGGTCGGGGACGATCTCAGCACCGACACTCCCGGGCAGCGACAGCAAGGCCGCTCGCCTGCGAGGTCATCCCGCCGCCACTGAGCATTCCGATCGGCCGGGGCACACTCGGCGGCAGTGTCAAGTCGGCGACGTGCTGCACCGCGCCGAGCTCGGCCCGCGCCTCGTCCTCGCCGCTCAGGCTGCGGAACTCGGCGGCCGGCACCAGCTCCCGCAGCAGCTCTCCAAGCGACGCGAGCATGCGAGGCGTGACCCTGCCGGCCGCCTCGGCCTGCCGCAGCCCGCCGGTGGCGCCAATTACTGTGGAGGTGCAGCCCGTCGCCACGACGAGCTCCTGTATGCTCGCCACCCACCGGCGCAGCGCCGAGCCGCCCTCGGTGAGCACGTCAACGATCCGAGGGAGCGCAAACGGTTCCGCCTGCCCGGTGCTCGCGCTCGCCTCGCAGGCGTGGACGCGATTGCCAGCGTCGCGCCAGAAGACGGCGGCGCGCGTCAGGCCCGAACCGCAGTCGACGATGAGTGTGGAAATTTGAGTCTAAGGGAAGGATCAGCACACCGAGGAGCTGACACCCCTCGACGGAGAGGGGGAAGGCTGGGGGTGATTTCTCAGATTTTTCCCGCAACCTCCTTCCCCGATAGAGGACCCCTCCCTGAGTCGGCGGATCGAATTTCCACGCGAATTCCCCTCGGGCATCGCTGTGAATGAGCATTCGCAGGCCAGCCACAGGGTGCCAGCGGCACTGGAGAGCTCTCGCTCCCTTCCTCGCCGCCACGCCGACTGGCGGCTCGTCGCGGGCGGCCAGGTGATCGGCTAGAGCCCAGACGTCGGGCTTGGCCTCCGTCGCCGTTCAGATGGACGGCTGTTGGTGGTGCGGGACCACGAACTGGGCGGTGAGGCGGTGAGGCGGTCAACGGGCTGCCCGCCGTGGCTCTAGAGCGAGGAGAAGCGCTCGGGCCGGCGTCTCCGGCGTCGACGTGCATCCATAGGGACTGCGCGGCGGCGGTACGCAAGAAAGCTTCTGCGCTCGCTGCTGAGGAGCTTGCTGCTCCGCCGGCAAGAAGCACGCGCTCCGCTGTCGAGACTGCGCGTCCCGACAGCAAGCGCCCCGCTGTCGGCGGCTGGGCGACGGAGTGTGGGGTTGATACGGCGGTGATACACCCCCCTGACAGCAGCGCCTCGCGGTGTGGGCTGCGAGGTCACTCGAGGTGACCCAGGGGGCGGCGGGGAGCACTCTCCCGCCGGAGCAGCGGGTGATATTCCCGCTACTCGCTCGAGTTTGAGGTGCGCCGCGCCTCGCCTGTGCTGCCTTCCCGGCTGCCCCAGCCGCCCTCACCGTCCTCATCCCCTCCCTCACCCCCTGCGAATGAGGCTGGACCTGCCGAAACGCTTGTGCCCGTAATTAGGCCAAGGCCTGAGTACGTTCGTTGCCCCCGCAACACTGGTGGGTGCCGCTACGTGGTGCCCGCCCGTGCTGGCG